ATCCCCCTGTAGCTGCTATCAGCCCAACCTAACTTCCTTATGGAGGTCATTTGAAAAAAACAACACTCTTCATTTGTAATTAGTATTAGTATTTTTTTAAGGCTGAAAAAAAACCTTGACCTCACGACCGCTGAAGTGCGATCACAGAGATATTAAACCTGTTTGTTGTAGGTCTGAGCGCTGCTGCAGCTGTGAAAAGCCGTGCCTACAGTGCAAAACACAGCTGGACTGAGGACTGTTTTTTCCTGACTGTAAAATAAAAGTATCTGTCATGTTATATTAGCGCTTATACCATGTTGGAGCCCACATACGGTTGTGAAAAAAAAGCAAAGTTGCGCACAAATAAATCCGCAAAACAGCGAAAGGTGAGGCGCACTGTAGCGAGGGATCACTGTGTACGGCACTTCTTATAGGAGCAAATGTGGGCTTTCTCTTGTTGATGGTGTTATGTGAATAGGGCCGATCAGAGCTAATGGGGACTGTAATAGGAGAGGATGAGTAGGAGGATGCAACTAAAAGGATGAGCTAATTAGCAAATCAGATTCACTTAGACTGCAAGCTTCATAACGACTACACACAGCCACAAACATAACGTGAGGACTTCAGGACATTTGCTACATGCCTCAAATGAGGACAGTCCTGTGTGTTCTTCTGTTTTGGAGATACACCTTTAATCATGGTCTTTAACCTCAGTCTTGTTGTGGTCCTGGTGAAACTTGAAAAAAAAAAAACATTGTTCAAACTTCATTTTTCTCCATAATTGAACTGAAAAAGTGAAACCAAAATATGATGTAGACCAGGGGTGTCAAACTTATTTTGGTTGAGGGGCCGGAAAAAAAAATTAAAGGGCCGTTCAGGGGCCGAAAGAAGAAGTGGGTTTCATTTTTTATACTTTTTATAATATGAAGGTATCTATATAAATGACTTGTTTCACATTAGTTAGACTGGATATTCTTTTCTGAATAGATTTAGTTCAGTTCCTGTGGACTGGACCAAAACTGGACCAAATATTGAAGGTTAATGTGAAGATTTTCTACTTCCGGGTGGATCATCAGACTATTGGTCCTCCCAACTGTCAATCATTCTGGTGATTCGTGCTCGTCAAATAAGACCAGAGAGTTTTGTTCAAAAAGTGGAGAGGGCGTTTTTTTTACTAACAAATTGGGAAATCCTCCTTGAAATGTAAAAACGTAGCATAACAACTAACTTCTAATTACACGTTGGCTTAACATTTCTTAAGGAATTACATTGTATGGTTTTCTTGAGAAAATTAGTAATGGATAACATGCCATTGTCGCCTAATACCGTCAATGCTGCTATTTAATATAATAATTTAAAATCATCTCATGGGCCACTGGAAATGGTCTAGCGGGCCGGATCTGGCCCCCGGGCCTTGACTTTGACACCTGTGATGTAGACGAACCACATGCAATATTACATATGTCAAACACTTGTTTATTATAAATGCATGGCTTTTAGTCCATTTTCAATATATAGATGTTTTATTTGGGCTGTAAGCCAATTATCAAAATTATAAAAACAAAAGGCTTGATATATCTCACTTTGCATTGTCTGTCATGTATTAGTTTCACATTCCATGGTGACTTACAGAAGTAGGTATTATAAACAACATTCTAGATTACCAAGTCTTAAGTATTATCAGATGACGCTAGTGAATTATGAAAAATAACATGTTTTTTTATTAAGTGGAGCGATCTGAGGAGACAATTTGTCAATGATCCTTTTCTTTACTTTTATTCAAAACAAAACTTCATGACTGGTATGACTTATATATACTGTATTCTGTTACTGTAATTAAGCATAATATTTAAACCGGTCACAGGAGAAACATGTGTCACTTTTTTCTCCTTCTTAATGAGAACCAAAACTTGCCTTTGGCCGCAATCTTTCTGCCACGTTAAGATAAGATACACTTTATTGATCTCACACTGGAGAAATTTACTGGAGTCTGTCGATTTTAATGTATGAGCCAATACTCACCATCTACAAAAGCTGAGATTGTAATGATTGATTTTGAGTAGTCTCTAAAAACACCTTATGTTAACGACTTTCACTTAACAATCATGAAAATACTACGGATTACATGTAAAACAGCTTTACTTTCTCAGATCTTAAAATTGAAGCAAACTGGGGCCTATAATAATGTTGTTTTTTATATAGGAAAAAAGAGGGAGAGAGAAAGGAGGATTTACAAGTATGTTCTCACCCTCACTTATGGCTTTGGGTAATGACTGGAAGAACGAGATCTCAGATACAAGGCTCTAGGGAAAACCAAGGACACGTTGGAGGGACTATGTCTCCCAGCTGGCTTAAGTTAAGGATTCCCCCAGATGAACTGGAGGAAGTGTGTTGGGAGAAAGAAGTTTGGGCGTCTCTACCGTTGCCCTCCCGCGTCCCGGCAATGGACAAAGTGGAAGAAAATGAATGGTTTGGATTTCCAGTGCTCAAGCTGCCTTCTATATACAGTCTAAAAAAAGCCTCTAATCTGCCTAAAAACTGGATCAGAATCCTACACTGTGTTGTGTGCTCTCTGTTTTGTCAACATCACTGTTGATCAGAAACATGTACAGTATCCAGACACATCGTCTGGGAGCATATGTGGTCATACAAAAAATTACCTTAAGTCTCCAAAACGATCAGAAAATGAATCTCTCAAAGGAAAACAGAAAGAAAACAAAGGTACCTTGACCACATTATCTGAAAAAGACAGGCCACGAGAGGCAGAGGGAGACCAGGATGAATGTGGACGGATGACATCAAAGACTGGACTGGACTACACTGTTGCAGTCAGAGAAGCAGTGTCTGAGGTGACCGGCCTCTGCACGGAACATGATGACTTTATTTTATCCATCCATTTTCAATGAAACCTACATACATTTACTTCAGACAATATAATTGTACTCATTTTCCTTTCCAATTACATAAAATCCATCTCTCCTGCAGTCCCAGTGGTTGAGATAGTGGTTGCTTAACAGCTCGCTCCAGTGTTGCTGTGTGTGCACATTACAGCCTCATTATGCTGTAAAGTAAGACTTTTTTTGGAATGACTTCCTGCAGCGGATCCAAATGAGTTTCCCTGTCCTGCTGGTCAGGAAGTGGCATTTTTCCGGACACCCCATGGGAGTAAATTGCTTCCATAATTATGTTTTTAGTTGAAAGAACTGAGTTTGAATATATGTGGGTGGATAATATTCACACCTGTCGAGTCTACAGTGCGTACATTGTGCCTACAAATGTACACAAATCAGCATAAGCCACACTTTGTGCAGTGACGCATTGGTCACGGCACATGTGACACTCGGCCCGCTCTGATGAAGACACACTAGTGACAGGGGGAGCTTCATGTTAATACAGACCAGCCTATTGTTACAGCAGAAGCCTGAGAGCACATTTATACAACATTAAATGGCCTATTCTGATTTTCAGCACGGAGAAAGCCTGATTGTATAACCTTTTATGTGGTATTCAAGGAACATACAGGTGAAAACATGTATTTACAGTTCTGTAATTCAACTTGCAGGGTAAAGTTAATTCATAATGAACTCATTACACGCAAAGTAACTTTTGTTATAATGTTGATAATATATATTTAATATGATCATGATAAACTAAGGTTTGAAATATGTGACTTTGCATGAGTCCATTTCATCTGTTGGTTTCATATCGTAGGTTGTTGTATACAGAGAGGTTTTTTCAAGAAGGCTCTATGTGCTTTGCTCAGTACGATACTCACAGATCATTAGGATGAACATGCAGCAGAATACATATACAGAGTAGAAAGAATGAGCATGACATGGAAATCAGAGGAGCATTGATGGTATATATGTATATACTGTATACATGACTCACACTATAAACAACTTCAAGGGTTTAGATCACACAAGAAGACATAGTGGAAAGTTGATTTGTACAAACATCAGTGTTGGTGAAAAACGTGGGTCTTCAGAAAAACGCTTCTTTGAATCCTGGAGAGTTAAATATCTCTCATAATAAAACAAAGTATCAAATATGTTATTTCATATTACTGTACATCCCCTCAAATGTTTTTACACTACAAACATGATATCATATTACTGAATGATATTGTTTATTCTCATTCAATCAGTGACTCCAAGTAAATCACAAATTGTTAATTCAACCAAAAAAAATCTACCAAAATAAAAGTGACCTCCTGCAAAGACCTTGACGAATCACCTAAACCCATTTTTGACCTGTCACAGCTGCATACTATATATAAATAAACTGAATTTATCAGCAATTTGTGTATGATGTAATGTAAGGTAAAATACCTTTGTTCTTTAGTGCCATGTTTGGGCATCACTTTCTCTCACATGTTTAATCTCTGTACCTCTATCGCTAGAGTACATACAGTGAGTGATGCACATAATTCTGTAAAACTGTATTGTGACAATTATTCTGCTGCAGATTACCAGGAATTAGCATTTCAAAGGGTTTTCCATTTTGAAGATGCCTTTTGGACTGCTTACTCCAGAAGAGCATTTAAAACAGCTTTAAATGTTTGTAACTGTAGGGATTTCCTATTTTATGCAAAATCACCACAAAAACACGATTGTGATGGTTTTGAATATGAATCTGATATGAAACAAAAATGCTTCATGAATTATTTATACAAAAATAAATGTATATGTTTATGTAGGATTCTCCGTCTGAACTCATGCAAACATGCAAAAGCCGGTGGAATTCCTCTCTCTGTGTCACATTGATTTAAAAGACTGTGGGCAGCAGCATCAACATAATCTGAATTCACTTTGAGGCAGCCGAAACACACGCTCTTCCCTAAAGCGCCGCGTCCCACCACTGTTTCATCATCTCAGTGAGAGGGCGGCTGCGGCTGCTGTTTTAGAGCAGAAGAGCAGGTGTGTTTCATGTGGCCACATGTTCAACACTCACTTGTGTTTGTTGATGGTGTGTGTATTGTGTATGATGTGTGTGTAGTGTGTGTTGTGTGTGATGCTCACCCGCTCCTCCTCTGCTCTGAGGTCGGGCATGGTGCTGACACACAGCGTCACCGCGGTGATGGCTACAAAGATGACGGACAAACAAGCAAAGATCTTCCCTGGGATTCCTGAGTGGGGGTTCTCCACCATGTCCCTGAGCCTCCTCATGCAGGTGGGGGACTGACTGTCCTCAGAGTCTGTTCCAGGCACATGTGCCTCCTCACAGGAAGGGGGCGCCGTGAGCTCGGCCTCCTCCTCCTCCAGCCGCAGCTGCTCCCTGTACTCCTCCTGGCGCAGGCGAAGTTTGCGCAGACAGCACCAGTCCAGGTTGTTCTCCTCCACGCCCCAGTACAGCAGCTCCTCCTGGAAGGACAGCGCACACATCTCTCGGAGCAGACGCAGTTTTCCCGCAGACAGGAAGGTGACGATGGTCCTGAAGGCGGACGGGCTCCTGTCGAAGAAGTACTCCTGTCTGCTGCCGTCATAGTCGTCACACAGGTCCATGATCTCCTGCTCGCTGCTGCAGCTGCGCAGCTTTCCCAGCCGCGTCAGGGGGAACTCCTCCAGCGTGCTCCAGGGGATTCGGTACTTAATGCCCCCCACGTTAATCATAGCCGCCCTCTCATCTCCCACCGCCAGTCGCGGCTGAGGCTGCAGCAGCAGCTGAGCGCGCTTGTAGAAGAGGCCCTTTTCAGAGCTCACCTCCTGACGGTTCTCCACTTGATTAAAGTGGAAGGAGGTGAACTGATGCTCTGTGCTCCCAGCGAGAAAAGCCACCTCCTGGTACATCCTGCAGAGGGCGCTGTCCTGGACTAGGGGTCTTCACAGGACACAGGTGTGTTCACCCATTCAGCAGCACTGCACAGCTCTGTGGACACAGCACAAAAACAGGACTAAGACATGTTTATAAACTCACAATCCACAAAGAGAAACACATTTACAGAATCTGGCGTTTTGGTGCATCTCCACACTCGCTGCTCAGCAAATGAAGTCCAAACACATTTGCCCTGACAATGGAATTACTTTGTACATGGGTTGTTCTATTTAACTGCATGAGAGAGCTGCTGAATAAGCTGCTCCAAAACATTGTTCACCAAAGTCTTTGAAAACACAATAAATCTCATCAGACTGAGTCCCGGGTCGAAAGTATGCATTGTCTCATGTTGTTTTGCCTTGTGCTCCGTGGCAGCTGCAGAGGAGAACAGAGGAGTGCCACAATGAGGATGATTCTATTAGAGAAGAAAGATGCAGCAGACAACACGATTAAGCACAAGGCACCTCAGACACAGCAGATCTTACAGGTGGGAGGGGCAAGAGAGACATGACATTAACAGGGGTTATTTATAAGCATGCTCTTTTCTGATGGGGTGTCTTGCTGTTTAAAAAGAAATTATTATCTAACGGATATTTTAAGGAAACTGGACAAATGTGTGCCAAAATACATGAATTGTTTACTATTTTGTTTGTTTTATTTCTGTTCTTTTAACCTGGTTTTATTTATTAGCTTGTCTTGTGCGCAGTTGGGACTTTTTCGGATGTATTCCAATGGGGTTTTACTGCAAATGGCAAATAAATTAATCTGAATCTGAATCTGAATCTGAAAGTGCGTACCCTAGAGAAAAGCCTAGCGTATAGAAGTGGGGAATATACAACGTGACCACAACATATAGTAATTTCAAATCTATGCAAATCTGCGTAGTGTTGATTAGATAGTAGAGTAGGAATTCTGTCTCCAGAGTAGAATAAAACAGCAGACACCACTTGTGCGTGTTCAAAATGCAAATTCTCAGAAAGCACTTAAAGCACCTAAACGCACGGCTAATGAGGCGTACAGAAGTAACTATAGATGTTACTGTATTTGCATAATTCAATATGAGGGTTTTAATGTCAAATGAAATAGTCCGACAATGCTACATTAGACATCATTAATGTCCGTATACTGTGCTCTATCATAAAAAAGCACTCGTATTTCAGTATAATATAGTATTCTATCAAAGTACTAAAGCACTAGTGTAACATGGACTATTACAATGTCCTAATAAGCACTAAAAACAAGTAAATAGATGGACTATATACAGCTGGTTCCTCCTATTCTCCATGATAAGCATGTCAGAACATTTATACAGTGCTTTTTTTATATCAATCGCTTAGTTTTGTTTTATTTTTTTCTATCCATCTATAGCCTTAAAGCTCGGGTACCTAATTATAAACCCACAAAAAATGTGCTACAATTCTCTCACAAATTGCATGTATACTTGGACGTTGGTCACATTTTTAGATCAGCTTTTTCCGACAGAAAAGTGAAAAGGATAGTACCACCTTCACCATGTTACTTTTTTATGGCTATTTTTTTTATAGCCCTGAATCACAACAATAGTTAACGCAAAGGATTTTACAAAGCCGTCATTTCGCCAACATAGATTTTCGTATATATGCTGATAAAGTCCATAATAGTGTGGTAAATAATCATGTGGCCTACTGGGTTTCCTCCTCGCACAACCAGTGATAGTGTTATGGTAATCATCAGACTCTGCTTAGATATAAAAAAGTTGGTTTAATATATAAAACAGAGAAAAGGCAAATTGACAGGCTGAAGCTTCATAGCCTGGGTCTGCTCCAAGGATGGCAGCGATGGATAAAGACCAAGACCAAAAGAAAGATGCTCGTTTTGTACCAGAGTAACATGATATACCTAAAACCAAAAACACATGTCAAATATGACCCATGATCTCTAAACTCAAAAATAAACAGCAACCTTGCTTCTTAATGGCCTGGTCAGCATTCTTCTTCTTTTCCAGGCGCCTAAAAGTGGCCTCCCAAATGTAAACCAAGGATTGCCCATAAGCAGATGTTTTGGCCTCTCAATGCATTAATACATTTGAATATACAATATACAGCCCCCCTTGAACCTTTCAACATTTCACCCCATTTCAGGCTTCAAACATAAAGATATAAAATTTTATTTTTTTGTCATGAATCAACAACAAGTGGGACACACTCACTGAGCTCGAGCTGTTTTGCAAGGAAGAATGATAGAAAACTGACAGAGACATACCCCAAGCGACTTGCAGCTGTAATTGCAGCAAAAGGTGGCGCTACAAAGTATTAGCGCAAGGGGGCCGAATAATATTGCACGCCCCACTTTTCAGTTTTTTATTTGTTAAAAAAGTTTAAATTATCCAATAAATTTTGTTCCACTTCACGATTGTGTCCGACTTGTTGTTGATTCTTGACAAAAAATGAAATTTTTATATCTTTATGTTTGAAGCCTGAAATGTGGCGAAAAGTTTGAAAGGTTCAAGGGGGCCGAATACTTTCGCAAGGCACTGTATGTGTAATTTTTAGAAATAAAACATCAGATACTACAATAGTCCTCAGACCCTCTTGCATCGGCAAAGAACAACTCTAAAAACCCAGTGGGAGGAGAAAGCAAAGAAAACCAAGCTAGGTACCCCAGCTTTATTACCTTGTACTGACTTTTCTCATAAACTTCTGGATCCTACTCCTATTATACAAAAAGCAAAACCCCAATGTATAGAAGTTCTGACATTTTATTCAACCAAACACATACACACACACACACGCAGCGAGAGACTGCACCCTTTTCCACAGTGGATTCTAATAACACATAAAGCCCATCCAGACAGCACCCAACCTTAGGCGGTGTACGCTGAATGAACCAGGCTTCGCATCAGAACAAATTACGCCTAAAGTTCCCTGAAGCGCGGCCGAATTTGTGGCTCTATTGTGGGGCCAGAGCGCTGCGAAGATGTTCTCTCTGTGTGCAAGCAAAGCGGCTTCTCAGAATTGGTAAAGTGCTTGTGACAGGGCCGGCTTTATGGAGCATGGCGCCGTGATTATAGGGGTGACTCTACGATCGCACAAGACAACGAATTTGAGACGGAGCTCCTGTGGGCCCGAATAAACTCCATGAAAGAAGTGTTGACCTAAGCTAATCGTACATTTCCTGACTAATAGGAAGTGTGAAGGTAACGCAGTGGGGAAACAGAAGTCTGCATGTGGGAAGAGCTGATTAAAAGAGCGGAATCACAGTTCGGGGGCTATTTTTTTTGCTGAGGTGATTCAATTTTGTATATTCGCCGACAGTGGAATAACTCGTAAGGAGCAGCCTGGAAGCAGAATTGGGGAGCAGCTTGTGTTAAGTCCTCGTTCTACAGCCTGAGTCCTGGATCTACTGTATATCTTGTCCATTTGAGCCGATCCCTCTCCCAATGTGCCCTACCCTGAGGTTTCTCACTTTTTTTTTGCCGACCTAAGGACCTATAACGACACTGATAATCTGGGACATTTGTGGGCATTTATTAGCATTTATGGACAAAGGCTACTATGTGATTGTTATTAATGCATTTCCTGTGTTTGAACTGTTTGATTCTCTGATCTGTTGCCGGTGAATCAACAACTTTATAAAGTCCTCAGAGACGACTGCTGTTGTGATTTAGGGCTATACACCTAATACATTAAATTAAATTTGTATTGACTGTGATCGGTAAAACCCCATTCTGTCCTCACTAGTCAGAATCAGAATTATTTTTATTGGCATGGTGGTAACGGGAAGTCACAAACTAGAAATGTGTTGGTTTGATTTTATTTAAAACCTGCGGAACATAATTTCACATTTCTTCACACAAGTACAGGTTTGCTTATAGCTAACAGCTAGATATTACAATATCTATACAATATCAGATTCATGATTTTCATTTGTGCCAAAATGACTGCCGCACTTAGGAATATGGATGTGTTTCAAAAAAGGGTTTTAGATATGTATCAATGTTTGTTTGTTTTATTTTTTTGTTGATATTTTTATTTAATGTTGTTATTTTTTTTATTCAACAACAACTTTATGCATATATATGTTGTATTGATTTGTTGACTTAAAAGTCTATTTTACTGAATCGTAACGTATAGTGACATATTGTGCTGGCTCTGAAAGATACCCAGCCCTATCAGAACCATGGGGTGCCTTCGAATGAATACCAGTACGTAAACAACACCTCATTTTTGGTTCTTTTCATGGGCAATAGAAGAAATGCTCTGATTTGGATATGATTCCCACAAGCATCCTTTACTTGTGGGAATCAAATCCAAAGCATAGCATTTCTTCTCATGTCCATGCCCTAAAGCAGCACTAACATCTACAATCATAGATCAAACAAGTGGTAAGAGAGCAGTGGGTGAATACTGGAGCAGAAGTGAAAAGGTGGTTGTAAGAACATAATATTGGAAAAAGAGAAAGCATTCACATCATTGAATTGGTAATGGCATTTAGCTACATCATGATCAAAGACCTCGTGAGTGCCTTAATAGAAAACATTCAGGATAATCTAAGATAAGTCATTGGTTTCAGATCACTAATTGAATAAATAGTAGAATAAACTTGGGAAGGAAACGATTGGTATCCCACGGGACTCATTTATAAAATCTGATTTGTAATCAGCCTTGAATGATTGTGCTGCTCCTTTCTCTCTTGTATAACACAAGAGACAGCACCACTGTGGCCCTGTCATTCAGAGGAGGAAAACGCATTTGTCATTTATCCATAATGTCTGTCTGCGTGTGTCTGTGTCTGTATGTCTGTGTGTGTGTCTGTCTGTGTGTCTGTCTGTATGTCTGTGTGTGTGTCTGTGTGTGTGTCTGTCTGTATGTCTGTGTGTGTGTCTGTCTGTGTGTCTGTCTGTGTGTGTGTCTGTGTGTATGTCTGTGTGTGTGTCTGTGTCTGTTTGTGTGTCTGTCTGTCTGTCTGTATGTCTGTGTGTGTGTCTGTGTCTGTT